CCCGCCATGAGCGCCGCCGCTGAGGCGGGTGCGGCCGCAACGCGTGATGGCTGGCAGGCGCGCAAATCTGCCCCTGTAACAGTGTTCAAGGCCATAGCCGCCACCTCGACCAAATCGGCGGGCATTTCCCTGCACCACCGCCGGCGTCCGCAGCCACGGTGTGCGGCAATTCGCAGGAGGCCGGCGATCGCCCCCGCATCACAGCAGGCTGCCACCTCCGCGCCGCCGCCTCCTTCGACCGCGTCTGATAGCAGCCGGACCGCCGCCACTGCGATGCCGTAATCGGCGTCCGCGCTGACGCCGGTGGCGACGGCCCGCGCGCCGGCCGGGTGCCGCAGGATCTCACGGGAGAGGCCCTTGATTTTCTTACACATCGTAAACGCCGTCCGCATCGCGACCGGCCTCCGCACCGAGCCGCCTGGCGCGGCTCGGACGCCCATAGCCACGCCGCCGAGCGGGGGCGCCGCCAGCAGCGGCGCCAGCACCGCGGCGGCCGCCGCCTCGTGGCCCTGCCACGCCTCGCCGACGGGGGGTCCAGGAATTTGTGCAGAATCCGAAACATGGCCGCCAGGAGCGCCCACATTGATTACCAGATCCACAACAGCTAGGACGCTTCCCATGGATGGCCCCGGCCCGATCTGCCCGTCAGCTTCTGCCTCTGCTCCGTCATCACCAGCCGCACGCAGGAGTGCCAGAAGTGCGCCTGGCCGGCGGAAGGCACTGCCCACGGCAAGCAGGGACGCGCGCCGGCTCGCTTCGGCGTGGCACAGATCGCCCTGTGGCGCACCAGCCCAGGCGGCTGTGATTGCCACGAGGGTGGCTGCCGCCGCCCTCATGTGCTGATGGCGGCGCTCGTCTGGGGTGGCCAGGCCTGAGGGCAGGCTGTGTGCGGATGCGCCTGACGAGGGCGCTGGGCTGTGCGGTGCGCCTCGCACTGATGTTGCTGTTGGAGACGTCTGCTGCTGCTGCTGCTGCTGCTGCTGCTGCTGCTGCTGCTGCTGCTGCTGCTGCTGCTGCTGCTGCTGCGGCTGCGGCTGCGGCGGCATCTGCTGCCACAGGGCGTCGAGCGCGTTGATGACAATGCGCACCGACGCCTCGGACCGCAGAGGCGCGGCAGCGGCGGGCGCGGTCCTCAGCAATACATCGACTGCCCTGTAGGCAACCCAGGCGCAGGCAACCCTGAAGATGCCGCCCTCGAGGCAGCAGGCGTGGCGCAGCAGACGCATCGCGTCTTGCGAAGACACCTGCAATCCGCGAGCCTGGGCCACTTGCAGCTCATCACACGCCTGGCTTGCTGCTGTGGAGTCACCACGATCCAGATCGCCCAAAAAATCGGTGAGTACGGACTCCATGGCGGGCTGCATTGTTCGGACGTCGCACCTCGGATGATCTGAGGCCTCGTTATATAACAGGCTAGATGATTGAAAGGGCGCCTCCTCCTGCAACTTGTGAAAGTTGAGGAAACCGACCATTCCGCAGAGTGATTATGAGCAGGCGGTCACTGCCCTTGGCAGGGGCCACTTCAGTTGGCTCTCACAACACGCCTGAGGAACTCCCTGCTCTGCCCTACCGAGTGGGCACCCCGCCTGCTCTTCGCCCCCCGCCACAGAGACACACCTGTGAGCAGGCAAGACGAACGCAGCAGGCTGGTAGCTGCGGCACGCCCTGAAACGCACACCCGGCAAGTACAACCGCTCCCCTGACGGCGGTGCTGGCTTATCTGTTGCATACAACAACAGGGTGCAGTGGCTTACCCACGCAGATTCGTTGCGTTACGATGAATGCAGGGCATGCAGGGACGGCGGCCAGGGAAAAGGGCGCGCACAATAACATGCACACAAGACCTTACAACCACATGCTGCCGGCATACACGAAGCTCGACAAGGCAAATGTATGCAGACTGTCATACATAATCATGCACCAACACCCTTCGGCTGACCGCTGCTGCTGCTGCCGCCGCCACGCCGCGCCGCCTCGCACACCGCGCGGTGTCCCCTCACCACCCAGTCTGTCCTGCAGCACTCCTGGCTGCAGTACCGCGTTCCCGTGACACGGCCACAGCCCGCGCAGCGCCGCAGCATGGCGCCCTCGCGCGCCGTCCTGCCGCACACGGCGCAGGCGTGGTGCTGCTTGGGCCCGCTGGGGCCGGATGCCATGACGGGCGCCATGCTTGCTGGGCCTGCCTGGCGCTCTGCTGCAGGGGTGTGGGGGTTCTGCTCCTCCTGCCCCTGACCGTCTCCCGCCCGCCCTGGCATGCGCCGCTCCGCCTCTGTGTCGGGCAAGCCTTGCTGACGATGGTCCTCCTGCTCCTGCTGCTTTTGTTGCTCCTGATCATCGTGCTTTTTGAGCTGCTGCCCGCACTCCTGCTGCTGCTTTTGCTGCTGCTGCTGCTGCTGCCGCTGCCGCTGCTGCTGCCGCTGCTGCTGCACCTGTTCCTCTCCTTGCGTCAGATCCACTATGACCGCCAGGGCCTCTTTTGCCTGGGAGGCAGCACCCTGGCTGCTACTGTGGCTGATAATGCACCTCAGCAGTCCATCCACAGCCACGCGCCCCTCCAGAAAAGCGGAAGGTAGAGGTGGCTGTGATGCAAAGTCCGCTCGCTGCCTGGCTGCGTACGCGTGCGCATAACCTGGCAGGTGCTCCAGCGGCACGACAGCTGCTGCCAGCAAGCCCAGCGTGCGCTGCGAGAGCCATGACGCGTTGACCCCGTGTGCGTCCATTCCAACCACGCCCCTTGCGGTGCGCGACACTGCACTCAGCAGCCCTGGCACCACAGCCAGGTTGCCGCGGCTTCCGGGGCAGGCAGCAGCCAGGCGGCACAGGGGATGAGCAGACTCGGGGCCTGCGCCCACCAAGGCGACCGCGGCCGCCGCCCGCATCTGCCGGCTGCGCGCGCCGCCGTTGTCGCACCCAAACGCGGCTGCAGCACCTTGCTGGCTGCTGCTGGCGTCGCCATCGGCCTTGACGTCATTTCCATCCTGCTGCTGCTGCCGCCGCTGCTGCTGCTGCTGCTGCTGCTGCTGCTGCTGCTGCTGCTGCTGCTGCTGCTGCTGCTGCTCTCCCGCCATTGCTGCTGCGGCAGCTGGCAACTCCGCAATCAGGTTTGGAGAGGCAAACAAGTACAGTGCTGCCGCAACCGACGCCGGCCACAACGGCGGCCACATGCAACCCTCACCGCTGGCAGAGGGCTTGAGCGATTGCAGGATTTGCATCAGCACCTGCGGCACGCCCAGCTGCACAAAGGTGGTCGCCCACGCGGCGCCCCCTGGCGGGTTGGCTTGCGCGGTGAGGAAGGCAGTGATTGCCAGCTCAGACGCCGTGCAGCCCGCGAAGAGGAAGGGGCTGGTCTGCTGCAGGTCTGACAGGCTGGCCCGCAGGCCCGCGACGAGCGCCGCCGCCGAGGCGGGCGCGGCCGCAACACGCGACGGCTGGCCGGCCTGCAAATCTGCCTCTGAAATGGCGGCCAAGACCGTCGCCGCCGTCTCGACCAAATGGTTGGGCATCTCCTTGCGCCACCGCCCACGTCCGCAGCCGCGGCGCGCGGCGACACGCAGGAGGCCGGCGACCGCCCCTGCGTCGCAGCAGGCTGCCACCTCGTTGCCGCCGCCGTGAATGACGGCGTCTCCCAGCAGCTCGACCGCCGCCGACGCGACACTGGCGTCGGCGTCCGCGCTAACGCCGGCGGCCACGGCACGCGCGCCGGCCGGGTGCCGCAGGATCTCACGGGAGAGGCCGCCGATGAGTTGGCACATCGTGAGCGCCGTCCGCATTGCGACCACCCTTCCGGCCGCACCGGTGGGCGTGCCTCGGACGCTGGCTGACGCGACGCCACATAGTGCGGGTGCCGCCAGCAGCGGCGCCAGCGCCGCGGCGGCTGCCGCCTCGCTGCCCCGCCATGCCTCTGCAACGCGCGGGTCGGTCTCATGCAAGCCACCTGCTGCATGCCCGCCATAGGCGCCCCACTTGATCGCCAGATCCACAACAGCCAGGAGGCCTCTTGGTGCCCTGCGGGGCACCAGCTGCGCATCAGCTTCTGCTTCCGCTTCGTCGTCGCCGGCCGCGCGCAGCAGCGCCAAAAAGGCAGCTGGCCGGCGGACGGCACTGCCCAGGGCGAGGAGGGACGCCTGCCTTGCTGGCTGGTCCCTGGCAGGGCGAGGCTGCTCCTGCGGCCCAGCATCCCATACGGCTACAACGGCCAAGAGAGTGGCTGCCGCTGCCCTGATGTGCTGGTGGCGGCGCTCATCTGGGGTGGCCAGGCCTGAGGGCAGGCGGCGAGCGGATGCACTTACCAGGTCCCTGAATCCTGCGGAGCGTCTTGCCCTGATGTTGCTGTTGGAGGTGGCTCCTGCTGCTGCTGCTGCTGCTGCTGCTGCTGCTGCTGCTGCTGCTGCTGCTGCTGCTGCGGCGGCGGCGGCGGCATTTGCTGCCACAGGGCGTCGAGCGCGTCGATGGCGATGCGCACCGCCGCCTCGGACTGCAGCGGCGCGGCGGCGGCGGGCGCGGTTGTCAGCAGCACGGCAACAGCCCTGTAGGCAACCCAGGCGCAGGCAACCCTGAAGATGCCGCCCTCGAGGCAGCACGCACGGTGCAGCAGGCGCGTCGCGTCTTGCGAAGACACCCGCCATCCTCGAGCCTGGGCCACTTGCAGCTCATCACACGCCTGGCTTGCTGCTGTGGAGTCACCACGATCTAGATGGTCCAACAGATCGGTGAGTACGGACCCCATGGCGGGCTGCATTGTTCGGACGTCGCACGTCGGATGATCTGAGGCCTCGTTGTATCATAGGCTAGATGGTTGAAACGACGCCTCCTCCTGAAATATGTGTGGCATTTCAGACAAGCAACCATTCCGCTCAGTGAAGATGAGCAGGGTCAGGACTCACTTCAGTTGGCTCTCACAACAGGCCTGAGGAGCTCCCTGCTCTGCCCTGCCAAGCGGGCACCCCACCTGCTCTTTGCCCCCCGCCACGGAGACACATCTGCGAGCAGATAAGACAGAGCAGCAGGCTGGTAGCCGCGGCGCGCCCTGAAACGCACACCCGGCAGGTACAACCGCCCCCCTGCCGGCTGTGCTGGCTTATCTGTTGCTAACAACAACAGGGTGCAGTGGCCTACCCACGCTGATGCTTCGTGTTACGATGAGTGCAGCACACACATGCAGGGACGGTGGCCAGGGAAAAGGGCGCTCACAACAACACGCTCACAAGGTCTCACAAACCACATGCTGCAGGCATACACCAAGGTCGACAAGCAAATGTATGCAGACTGGTGAAACATAATCATGCACCAACACTCTCCAGCTGACTGCTGCTGCTGCTGCCGCCGCCGCGCCGCGCCGCCTCGCACACCGTGCGGTGCCCCCTCACCACCCAGTCCGTCCTGCAGCACTCCTGGCTGCAGTACCGCGTCCCGGTGACGCTCCCGCAGCCCGCGCAGCGCCGCAGCTTGGCGCCATCGCGCGCGGTCCTGCCGCAGACGGCGCAGGCGTGGTGCTGCTGGGGCCGGCTGGAGCCGGATGCCATGACGGGTGCCATGCTTGCTGGGCCTGCTTGGCGCTCTGCTGCGGGGGTCTTGGGGTTCTGCTCCTCCTGCCCCTGACCGCCTCCCGACGGCCCTGGCATGCGCTGCTCCACCTCTTTGTCGGGCAAGCCATGCTGCAGAGGGTCCTCCTGCTCCTGCTGCTGTTGCTGCTGGCGCTGCTGCTGCTGCTTCTGCTGCTGCTCCTGCTGCTGCTGCTGCTGCTGCTGCTGCTGCTGTTGCTGTTGCGGATGCTTCTGCTGGTGCTGCTGATGCTGCTGCTGATGCTGCTGCACCTGTTCCTCTCCTCGTGATAGAGCCACTATGGCTGCCAGGGCCTCATTTGCCTGGGAGGCAGCAGCCCGACTGCTGCTGTGGCCGAAAATGCACCACAGCAGTCCATCCACCGCCACCCGCCCCGCCGGAAAAGCGTGAAGCGGAGGTGGCTGTGATGCAAAGTCTGCTGGCTGCCTGCCTGCGTACGCGTGCGCATAACCTGGCAGGTGGTCCAGCGGCACGACAGCTGCTGCCAGCAAGCCCAGTGTGCGCTGCGAGAGCCATGATGCGTTGACCCCCTCTGCACCCATTCCAACCACGCCCCATGCAGTGCACGACACTGCACTGAGCAGCCCCGGCACCACAGCCAAGTCGCCACGGCATGAGGGGCAGGCAGCAGCCAGGCGGCACAGGGACTGAGCAGACTGGGGGCTCGCGGCTACCAAGGCGGCCGCTGCCGCCGCCCGCATCGGCCGGCCCAGGGCGCCGCCGATGTCGCAATATAGCGCCGCTGCAGTACCCTGGCTGCTGCTGGCGCTGCCCTTGACCTTGCCGTCCGTTTCCTGTTGCTGCTGCTGCTGTTGCTGCAGCTGCTGCTGGTGGTGGTGGTGGTGGTGGCCCGGCTTTCCTTCCATTGCTGCTGCTGCTACTGCTGCTGGCAACTCCGCTAACAGGCTTGGTGAGGCAAACAAGTACAGCGCTGCCGCTGTACTTGTAACCGACGCCGACCACACCGCCGGCCGCATGCAATCCTCACCGCTGGCAGGGGGCTTTAGCAACTGCAGGAGTTGCATCAGCACCTGCGGCGCGCCCAGCTGCGCAAAGGTGGTTGCCCACGCGGCACCCCCTGGTGGTTGGGCCTGCGCGGTGTTGAAGGCTGTGATCACCAGCTGGGACGCCATGCGGCCCGCAAACAGGAAGTCGTTTGCTTGCTGCAGGTCTGAGAGGCTGGCTCGCAGGCCTGCAACGAGCGCCGCCGCCGAGGCGGGCGCCACCGCAAAGCGTGACGGCCGGCATGTGCACAAATCTGCCTCTGTAATGGCGGCCAAGACCGTCGCCGCTCTTTCGACCAAATCGCCGGGCGATTTCTCGCACCACTGCCCGCGCCCGCAGCCGCGGCCCACAGAGACACGCAGGAGGCCGGCGACTGCCCCTGCGTCGCAGCAGGCCGCAACCTCCTCGTTGCCGCCATGGGCGACCGCAATGACCAGAATTTCGACAGCCGCCACGGCAACGCAGCAGTCGGCGTCGGCGCTAACACCGGCAGCTACGGCACGCGCGCCGGTCGGGTGACGCAGGATCTCACAGGCGAGGCCCTTGATGAGCTCGCACATTGTGAGCGCCATCCACATCGCCACCGGCCTCTCCGCCGCGCCGCAGGCCGCGCCTGGGACATGTGCCGCAAGCAGCGGCGCCAGCGCCGCAGCGGCCGCCGCTTCGCTGCCTCGCCATGCCTCTGCGATGCGCGGGTCGGGCTCGTGCAAGCCAGCTGCTGTGTGGCCACCGTGAGGGCCGCACTTCAACACCAAATCCACGACAGTCAAGAGGCCTCCTGGCGACATCCGCAGCCCAAACTGCCCATCAGCTTCCCCCTCCGCTCCGTCGTCGCCGGCCGCGCGCAGCAGTGCTAGGAACGCGGCGGGCCGGCAGATGGCACTGCCCAAGGCGCGTAGTGACGCCCGCATTGCTGGGTCGCCGCCGGCGGGGCGAGGCTGCACCTGTGGTTGAGCAAACCAGGCGGATTGCATTGCCACGAGGGTGGCGGCCGCGGCCCTGATGTGCTGGTGGCGGCGTGCATCTGGGGTGGCCAGGCCTGAGGGCAGGCTGCATGCAGATGTGGCTGGGAGGGCACCTGAATCCTGGGGCGCGTCCTGCCCTGCTGTTGGTATTTGAGTGGTGTCCAGCAGCTGCTGCTGCTGCTGCTGCTGCTGCTGCTGCTGCTGCTGCTGCTGCTGCTGCTGCTGCTCCTGCTGCGGTTGCTGCTGCTGCTGCTGCTGCTGCTGCTGCTGCTGCTGCTGCTGCTGCTGCTGCTGCTGTGACGGCGGCATCTGCTGCCACAGGGCATCGAGCGCGTCGATGGCGATGTGCACCGCCGTCTCGGACCGCAGAGGCGCGGCGGCGGCGGGCGCGGTCCTTAGCAGCACATCAATTGCGCTGTAGGCAGTCCAGGCGCAGACGGCCTTGGCGACGCCGCCCTCCGGGCAGCACGCATGGCGCAGCAGGCGCGTCGCGTCTTGCAAGGACAGCTGCCATCCTCGAGCCCGGGCCTGCAGCAGCTCGTTACATGCCTGGATTGCTGCTGCAGGAACACCACGATCCAGATGAGCCAACAGATACAGATCAATTAGGACGGACTCCATGGCGGGCTGCATTGGTCGGACGTCGCACGTCGGATGATCCGAAGCCTCGTGATAACATGCTTGAAGATCAAAATCGCGCCCCTTCATACTATACACATGCGCAATCACAAGCAAGCACCGACCCTCCACACTGAAGAACAGGCGTCAGGGCGCATTTCAGTTCAGTTGGCTTCCACCGACCAACAGGCCAATAGGCTTGCCTTGAGCTTCCAGCTCTCGTCCACGGCGTGGGCACCCCACCGGCCCTCCACGACCTGCCACGGAGACACACTCTTGAACGGGCACGGCCAACACAGCAGGCTGGTAGCCGCGACGCGTCCTGCAACGCACCCCCTGATCCCCAGGCGCAGCCGCTCCCCTGCCGGCAGTGGCTCATCTGATGCTTTGAAAGCAGGGCGGAATGGCTTACCCACGCCGATGCTTTTCGTTGCAGTCAACGCAGCGCATTCAGGGACCGACGGCGCCCAGGCGACGGGGCGCGCCCAACAACAAGCATGAAATGTGTTACAAAGACATGCTGCAGGCATGCACCAAGCTCAACGTGACAATGAGTGCAGACTCATCAAACCCATTTACGCACCAACACCCTCCGGCTGACCGCCGCTGCTGCTGCTGCCGCCGCGCCGCGCCGCCTCGCACACCGCGCGGTGGCCCCTCACCACCCAGTCCGTCCTGCAGCACTCCTGGCTGCAGTACCGCGTCCCCGTGGCACGGCCGCAGCCCGCGCAGCGCCGCAGCTTGGCGCCATTGCGGGCCGTCCTGCCGCACACGGCGCATGCGCGGCACTGCTGGGGCCTGCTGGGGCCGGGTGCTGGGACGGGCGCTGCGATTGCTGGGCCTGACTGACGCTGTGCTGCGGGGGTCTCAGGGTTCTGCTCCTCCCGCCTCTGCCCGTCCTGCGCCGGCCCTGGCATGCGCGGCTCCACCTGAGTCTCTTGCAAGCCTTGCTCTTGCTGCTGCTGCTGCTGCTGCTGCTGCTGCTGCTGCTGCTGCTGCTGCTGCTGCTGTTGCTGCTGTTGCTCCTGCTGTTCGTGCTGGTCTTCATGCTGCTGCCCGCGCTTCTGCTGCGGCTGCTCCTCTGGTTCCACCTCTTCCTCCTCCTATTGCTGCTGCTGCTGCTGCTGCTGCTGCTGCTGCTGCTGCTGCTGCTGCTGCTGCTGCTGCTGCTGCTGCTGCGACACATGATCCTCTTCTCGCATCAGGGCCGCCAGGGCCACAAAGGCCTCATTCGCCTGAGAGGCAGCAGCGCAGTTGCGGCTGTGGCTGACGATGCACCCCAGCAGCCCAGTCACAGCCTTTCTTCCCACTGCAACAATCTGCGGCGGCAGCGGCTGTGATGCCAAGTTCGCTGGCAGCCTGCCTGCGTACACGTGTGCAAATTCTGGCACGTGCTCCAGCGGCACGACAGCTGTGGCCAGCATGCCAAGCGTGCAAAGTGAGGCCCATGCCGAGGCGACCCCCTCTGCATCCACTCCGGTGAAGCCCCATGCGGTGCGCGACAAAGCAGTCAGCAGCCCCGGCACCACAGCCAAGTCGCCGCGGCATCCAACGCAGGCAGCGGCCAGGCGGCACATGCTTTGAGCAGACATTGGGCCAGCGGCCACCAAGGCTGCCGCGGCCGCACGTCGCATCTGCCGGCTGTCGCCGTCGTTGCAATCAAGCGCCGCCGCTGCACCCTGCCTGTTGCTGGCGTCGCCATCAACCTTGCCATTCCTTTGCTGCTGCTGCTGCTGCTGCTGCTGCTGCTGCTGCTGCTGCTGCTGCTGCTGCTGCCTGTCTCCTGCCATTCCTGCTGCTGCAGGCAACTCCGCAATCAGGTTTGGTGAGGCAAAAAGGCAGAGTGCTGCCGCAACTGGCGCCAGCTGCACCGCCAACATATCACAATCCGAATCATCTGACAGGGCTTGCAGTAACGTCAGGACCGGCATCAGCAGCTGCGACATGCCTAGCTGCGCAAGGGCGGCCGCCCACGCGGCACCACCTGGCGGTTGGGCCAGCGCAGCGTTGAAAGCGATGATTGCCAGCTGGGCCGGCGCGCAGCCCACCAACTTGAAATGGCCCGCCTGACGCAGTTCTGACAGGCTGGCCCGCGAACCCGCCATGAGCGCCGCCGCTGAGGCGGGCGCCGCTGCGACGCGCGACGGCCGGCAGGCGCGCAAATCCGCCTCTGTAATGGCGGCCAGGGAAGTTGCCGCCATGTCGACCAGATAGCCGGACGTTCCCTCGGGCCATTGCCCACGCCCGCAGCCGCGGCGCGCGGCGACGCGCAGGAGGCCGGCGACTGCCCCCCCCCCCCGTCGCAGCAGGCTGCCACCTCGCTGCCGCCGCCGTAGATGACGGCGTCTCCCAGCAGCTCGACCGCCGCCGACGCGACACTGGGGTCGGCGTCCGAGCTGACGCCGGCGGCCACAGCCAGCGCGCCGGCAGGGTGTCGCAGGATCTCCTGGGAGAGGCCGCTGATGAGTTGGCACATCGTGAAAGCCGTCCGCTTTGCAGCCACCCTCCGCACCCTCAGCACCGGGCCGCCGGGCCCGCCGCGGACGCTGGCCGCGGCGGCGCCATTGATGAGCGGGGGTCCTGCCAGGAGCGGCGCGAGCGCTGCGGCCGCCGCCACCTCGCTGCCTCGCCACGCCTCTGCAATGCGCGAGTCTGGCTCGTGCACACCACCCAATGATTGGCCGCCGTAGGCGCCCCACTTGATCGCCAGATCCACGACAGCCAGGAGGCCTCCCAAGAAGGGCCGCAGCCCAGCAAACTGCCCCTCAGCTTCCGCCTCCGCCTCGTCGTCACCGGCCGCGCGCAGGAGTGCCAAGAGTGCGGCTGGCCGGCGGATGGTGCTGCCCAGGGCGAGGAGGGACGCCCGGCTTGCCGCCTCACTGCCGGCGGGGTGAGGCTGCTCCTGCGGCCCAGCAACCCAGACGGCGGCGAGTGTCACGAGGGTCGTCGCCGCCGCCCTCATGTGCTGGTGGCGGCGCTCATCAGGGGTGGCCAGGCCTGAGGGCGCGCGGCGCGCAGATGTGCCTGACGGGGTCGCTGGAACGTGTGTCGTGTCTAGCCCTTGCGTTGCTGTTGGAGACGCCTGCTGCCGCTCTTGCTGCTGCTGCTGCTGCCGCTGCGGCTGCTGCGGCGGCGGCGGCGGCATCTGCTGCCACAGGGCGTCGAGTGCGTGGATGGCAATGTGCACCCCAGCCTCGGACCGCAGAGGCACGGCAGCGATGGGCACGGTCCTTAGCAGTACATCGATCGCCCTGTAGGCAACCCAGGTGCAGGCGGCCCTGGCGACGCCGCCCTCAACGCAGCAGGCGTGGCGCAGCAGGCGCGTCGCGTCTTGCGAAGACAACTGCCATTCTCGAGCCTGGGCCGCTTGCAGCTCGTCGCATGCCTGGCTTGCTGCTTCAAAGGCGCCACGATCCAGATGGCCCAACAAGTCGGTGAGCACGGACTCCATGGAGGGCTGCGTTCGTTGGTCGGACATTGGACGATCTGAAGCCTCGTTACAACAGGCGTGAAGAGTGAAAAGGCGCCTCTTTCTTCCTGATATGCGCGATTTCAGGGCAGCAACGAGCCTCCACAGTGATGAACGGTCACGGCGCATGTTGAGTTCATTTCGCCAACTGACCAGCATGCCATTTCAGCTTCCAGGTCTCGTCCACTGGGCGGGCACCACACCGGCCCTTCACAACCTGCCACAGAGGCACATCCCTGAGCAGGCACGGCGGAAACAGCGGGCTGGTAGCCACGATACGTCCTGAAACACACCCCCAGGTACACCAGCTCCCCTGCCATGTGCCATCGGTGGCCCATCTGTTGCTTCTGAAACAGGGTGGGCCGGCTTACCCACGTCAATAAATTGCGTTGCATTCAACGCAGCGCATGCAGGGACAGCGGTCCCGCGCGGCGCGGTTGCAGCTTGATGATGGAAAGCGGTGGGCGTCCCAGCTGTCGGCGGCGGATTTTAAAAAGACGAGAGGACTGGATGCCATGGATGCCGGCTGGCAGCATGGCATGCAGGGGGTTGCCGTCGCTGCCGGCAGGCCGGCAAGCAGGCCAAGCGACAGGGCGCTCGGAGGGGCGCTGCATAAGCAGGCAGCGCATAAGAAGCAAAGCGCGGCCTCGGATTGCAAGCCAAAGGTGTCAGCAAGCGGTGATAAGGGGAGTCAGCGGCGCTTGGGATGATGTACTGGTATGGGGAAGCGCCATCGCCATTGTGAGTGAAAATTGGTGATGGAAGAGCGGTGTGGGTGTGTTGATTGGAAAAAAGGGGGAAGCACGACCTGAATTCACAACTGCGCGACGCATGCTCTTGTTTTGGCGGGGTAGATGCCTGCGGGCGGCAGCTGAGCAGCGCGCCAAGCAGGCGACTGACAGCCTTAAAAGCTGTGTGCCGCCTGCTTGCAAAGGAAAGCATCTTCGCAACAGCCGCAACGCACGGCGTTGGGCACAGGGCGGGGCGGCACTGGGCGGCGGTCCCCGCGCGGGCGCGTGGTGGTGCGACAGCGCTCAGAATTGGGCGCCGCGGTGAGATCCCTGCCTAACAGTGTGGCATGCTTCGAGCGCAAATTGAGCTGCATGGTTTGAACTCGGAAAATTTAGAGGACTGCCAGTTTGTCAGGGCAAAGGCGGAGGGCTGAAATCCAAGGCAGGGCGCAAGGGGGGGAGGCCAAGTGCGAGGCGGGGAGAACGCAGCATCCAGCACCGGGCCGCACAGCGCTGCCGCCCCGCCCACGGCCTGCTGGCCCCCAGCCCGTCACGCCGCCCACCCCACGCTCCCCGCCGCGCCGCTGCGCCCCTCTGCCCGCTCGCCCTCCTCCACACCGCCGCCGCCGCCGCCGCCGTCGCCGCCCGCGGCCCCAAGGGCGGGCACCCCCAGTATGCCGTCCGGCAGGGCGCTGTGACTAATCCTGACGTCCTTCTGCACCGCCACGTCAGACTCCGCCATGCGGGCCGCCAGCTCCATCGCCTTCTCGATGGCCTGTTGCAAGAGCGGCGGGGTGATCAGGGATTTGAGGATTCCGAGGTTACGTCATATGGGATTTTGACACCCCAAGAGGTCTGTGACGAGCGCGCAGGCCGCAGGACGGCCCGCGGAGCAGAGCGCCCCGGGCATCGGCAGCGCGCCCCGTCCCGACTCGCCCCCGCTGGACACCGCCGCGGCCCAAACCCCGGCGGCAGCGCCGGGCCACGGCCCTCTCAAACCCAAGCGCAGGCCCCCAGCGCGCGCGCCAGCCGGCCCACCGCGACGTCATCTCTGACGCCCTTCGTCTCGAATGATATGCGGAACCGGTGCACCGGCTCCCGCGCGCAGGTGATGGCGCCCGTGGCGACGTCGAAGCGGCAGGGCACGGGCAGCTCCTCGCGGATGTAGCAGACGTGGAAGCCCCTGGCGGCGGTTGGTGCAGCGGTTGATGGCGGTTGATTGGCGACGGTTGGTTGGTCGGTTTGCGGCAGTCGATCGGTCGGTTGGCCGTGTTGCAATAAGTCGGCGTGGACCGAAGGCCATGAGCGTGTGTGCGTGACCGAGAGAAGCTTGGGGTGGAGGGGGGGGAGGCAACGGCGCCGCCTTTCCCCTGAAGAAGATCCAACACTCACCACCACAACCAGACCCAACATTCGAAATCACAAGAGCCCCCCCCCCACCTGTCTGTGAGCACGTCCACCATCATGTCCACAGCCACGGGGTGCTCGCAGAAGAAGGCGCTCTTGGTCACGTACTCCGCATGGCCTGGTTG